GTTTGGAGGAGCGTCCTCCGATCCTCTCTCTTGTGTGAGCAGACAGTGTCTCTCTCTCTCTCTCTCTCTCAGTCGCTGATCGAGCGCGCCGCACGACAACCCGCTCAATTAACATAGTTCACGGCCCAAATCCAACAGAACCATTCGGGCTGATTCGGTTCCGGTTTGGTCTTGGGTGACAACTCAAGCGCTCAGCCCTGCAGTACCACATTAAGGCGGAGGTAAATGTGGAGGACGCTCACTCTGACAGATTTGGATGCGGCGCTGGTGCCGCCGTTAAAAAAACAAAACTACATTCCACTATAATCGATTATGGCGTACTCTTCTACGATGCAGAATCGTTTATGTCCGCATCCCGATGCATCGATTATTTGATTATTTTCCTCAGCTCTAACGATCGGCTGTTTCATTCAGCAGCAAACTAGCTGTCCTGCTAAGAGCAGACTGTCCTCCTGCCCCTAGATATGTATGTAAACTAGAGCTGTAGCGACGCCTCGATGACGTCGACGGCTCGATTATAAAAATTTGTCGACGTCAGATCCGGTAGTCGACGCACCGCGCCCACTTGTTGCATCCCCAGGAGTTTGTAAATAGAGGAGGAATCTGCCTGTTTTTCCTCTAGTTCGCCCTCTTCTCCGCCTTCACTAACATCCCCGCCAAATACCAAAGACCCGGAACAACGTCCGTCCGCTACTAGATTCCTTTCCTGTTTTGCCCGCCTTTGTCTCCCGGCAACGGACAACAACTTCCGGGGTCAAATGCGCTGCTTCGTCTCTACCGCAGATGTAGAACACCACACCGGGAGCGTTTCTCCCTTCATAAAGGAGCTTCTTTCAGACATTAGGAGAGCTGTTTTGGTGGCAGCAGTCTCTCCTCCGTGCTGGTCTGTTTGCTGGGTGTTTTTGGTTTATTTAAACTTGGTAACTTGAACTTAACGTTGGTAAAGCTACTGTTAGCATTTTCGCTAACAGCTTCTTGCGTTTGGATAAGCTGTTACGTTTTGGTTCAGAGTTCATCTTTTTTGTGGTGCAGATCTCCCTTTTATTACATTTAGAGTGTTGTGGGTTTTCGGTTTAGTGTAAAATATCACCTTGAGTTTGGTTTAACCGCCCAGTTCAGAGTTTGGACCTTTGGAGATTATTTTGGTCCAGAACCCTGTAATCTTTGCCCAGTGGGACATCCCTAGTTATTTGTACATTTGTTTTAATTCCCCACAGGCAGAATTATTTTTATTATTCCCAAACTGTGGATGGAAAGATTTATGTTTTTTTTTGTAGTTGTAAATAAACCTGATCATCATTTTAACTTTTAAATCCCGTTATTGTCCCTTCCTTTTTGCACACGAGCCAAACTCCCCAGGAAGGGTCGTAACACCTCTCGCCTCACGCACATAAGTGACCAAAACAAAGCAGCATGGAGACACTCCATCTCCAACCACCTCTCAGGCAGCAGCCTGCACTCCCAAGTTCTACACGTCACCAGAACATAACCAACCAACACAATAAAAGCAGTGTTATACAAAATGGAAGGCCTGTAGTATTTATTCTCTTACAGTAACAATTAATCACTTTTTTTTTGAGGAATTTGAGATCGTCTTGCTTTTATTAACTGTGCAATAAGAAAATAATCGCTAGATTAATCGTCTAAATAGTCATTAGAATAGTAGACTATTCGATTAAAAAATCGTCAGAATAATCGTTTTAAAAATAATTGTTTACCCCCAGCCCTAATGTAAACACATTTATTTATATCTATGCTGCGGTTGGAGCCGTTTTGGGGAGTTTAGTAAAGAAAGTGTGAACTTAGCGCTGTAATAACCATTCTGTCCTGTTAGCTGAATATTTTATGTTTCATAAATAACTGAAAACGTAAAAGGTGAATTTATAATCTTGTTGCATTAATCAGACTGTCGGACTTCCTTTATGTCTGTTGGCTGTGAAGCATTAGAGTACATAGGATAAACATATGTGCCTTACCTGGGTATGAACTTTAATGCAACTGCCCTATTCTGCCCAGCTGTGGGCATCAGGTCTGTTGCTTTACTAGAATCATGAAAACTGGTGAAAAATAGGTCTAAATCAGGATTATTTTCATTAAATGATTCGCATTTAATCTGATGATGAGCGATGTGCTCTAACTTGTAAACATCCTCAGCCCATTAAAGCAGGACAGCCTACTAATCAACCCCAATAGAGCCAACAGATAGAAAGTCAGTCTGCAGTGTGATAAAACGAGGTTTATTAAGTTCACATTTGATGTTTTTCGGGTTCTCTTATGAAAGAAACTGAACCTGGTTTGTTGCTAAACAGGAAAGGATGTTTATTTTAGTGATGAGTTCACACTTGCTTCTAAAACTCCTCAAGATCTGGCTGCAAACATAAAACCTGCAACGAGGGAAAACGAGCCGCCGAAACTGGCTCCTCTCGATATGGAGGAGCAGCGGGTCTACTCGGAGCTCCTCCCAGAGGACCGAGCTTCTCACCCTATCTCTAAGGGAGAGCCCAGCCACCCTGTGGAGAAAACTCATTTCAGCCGCTTGTATCCGCGATCTCGTTCTGTCACCACTCAAAGTTGGTGACCATAGGTGAGAGTAGGAACGTAGATCCACCGGTAAATCGAGAGCTTTGCATTCTCACTCAGCTCTCTCTTCACGACAGACATCGCCCGTATCACTGCAGATGTCGACCTCACGCTCTGATGAAGCCAACAGGACCACATCATCTGCAAAAAGCAGAGACCTGATCCTCAGGCCACCAAAACGGATGCCCTCCACACCTTGGCTGCACCTAGAAATCCTGTCCATAAAGGTTGTGAACAGAATCGGTGACAAAAGGCAGCCTTGGTGGAGTCCAACTCTCACTGGGAACGAGCCCGACTTACTGCCGGCAATGCGGACCGAGCTCTGACACCGGTCCTACAGGGACCTAACAGCCCGTATCAGAGGGCCTGGTACCCCATACTCCCAGAGTACCTCCCACAGGGCCCCTCGGGGGACGCAGTCGAACACCTTCTCCAAACCCACAAACACATGTAGATTGGTTGGAAGAACTCCCTCACACCCTCCAGGACCCCCTAAGGCAGGGGTGCCCAATCCTGGTCCTCGAGGGCCGGTATCCAGCATGTTTTAGTTTTAATTCTGCTTCAACACACCTGATTTCAATCAGCAGGCGATTAACACGCTTCTACAGAGCCTGATGAGCTGCTGCACAGGTGATTCAACCAGTTAATCAAGTGTGTTGGAGCAGAAAAACTACAAAACCTGCTGGATACCAGCCCTCCAGGACCAGGATTGGGCACCCCTGCCCTAAGGGTATGGAGCTGGTCCAGTGTTCCACGGCCAGGACAAAAACCACATTGTTCCTCCTGAATCTGAGTTTCGACAATCCGACAGACCCTCCTCTCCAGAACCCCCTGAATAGACCTTACCAGGGAGGCTCAGGAGTGTGGTCCCCCTGTAGCTGGAACACATCCTGCGGTCCCCCTTTTTAAATAGCTCCTTCTGGCAGGAGACTCCGCCAGACGTTGCCAGCAGGCCCTGACGATACGTTTGGGCCTGCCAGGTCAGATTAGCATCGTCACCACCATTTATATCTGCAGTGTCACCAAAACTAACCTCACTTCTATCGGATTAGATTTGTGCCAATAGGATCAAGAAAAACACTTTTGACTGTCAAACAAAAATTAAGAAATTGACAGAACAAAAATATTGACTAAAGGAAAAAAAAAGTTTCTAAAGTAAAACTTACCATCTGAATCAACTTCTTAAAACGAGTAACAAAGTATGTTTCCTTTTTCTGTATGCCTCTGTGTGTTTTTGTTATCAGTTTCCTTAGTTTCGTTCTCGCTGCTCACAGCTTTGCTCTCACTACCAGATTTGCACTTAGACTGTCTGGCTTTCTCCTTTGCAATCCCTGAGTTTTTGGTTGCAATTCTGACACAACCCTTTTGGGTGGGTGGGACTTCTCAGAAGTCCTCTCCCATAGGACAGTGGTTTCTCTTGAATGACAGTTCAGTGACCCGGAAGTGATGTAGCCTCCATTACTTTTTTTTCCCACCTCGGTCAACAACATAAATTTTGAGCCCCAAACAGGTTATTTCTGCTGTCTGTGGTGTCTACTAAGGATCTAAAGTGAGTATTGATAGTATATTTTATCTTTTCTTAGTTAATCTGTAAGTTAAGCCACTTTTTAAGTTGGTTTTAACTAGACGCTAGCTCACTAGCTAGCTGCTAAGCAAGCCATTGAGCTAGCCTCAGGACAATGGTCTATTGTTCCAGAGAGACGTATTAAAAACTCATCTTAACATATTCAGTTTTATTCCATGTTACCTGGACGGGCTAAACAAGTACTTTGTACACACTTTGTTACTCATTTTAAGAAGTGGTAAGTTTTACTTTTGGAACATTTTTTTTCCTTTAGTCAATATTTTTGTTTTGTCAATTTCTTAATTTTTGTTTGACCATCAAAGTGTTTTTCTTGATCATTTTAAGAATCTGATTCAGATCGTAAGTTTTTCTTTTGAAACAATGTTTTTACTCTCAATGTCTTAAAATTTGATTGCTCTCCAAAGTGTTTTTTCTTGATCCTATTGGCACAAATCTAATCCCATACACTTCACTCAGAGATTGTTCTTTAAAACTCGTATTAAATCCGCTGTGCTGACGCACTTTAACCACTTAGTCGCGCTGCTCTTTAGCTGATGTGGGATTTATTTACTGGATGCTAACATGACATCACACTCACGGAGTAACACACACAGGCGCTCTGCTGCTACAGTCAGTGGAAGGTTATCATCTGGTGTAAAAAGGCGTTCATCACAATTCCCAGATCACGTTTTATTCCACGAAAATCGTCCGAATCCACATTAATCTGGGTGCTAACTTTACTAGCATGTTGTGCTAGCGCTAGCAGGTCGGATGCTAATGCTAGCACGCTGCTAATGCCCGTAAATGAACGTGTACAGTAAAGTTAGCCGACATTTTAGAGTGATATGAAGCTTACCGCTCTGCTGCTGTTCACGTTATTAACACACTCAGAAGGAAAAGACTCCTATTTCAGGACGAAGGGCGAGCTCCGCGCACCCGTGGCCACAAATGACTGTGACTGCTATCCTGGAGCTACGAGAGCAACTAACGGATGTGTGCTGCCACCACAGATATGTGCCTCGTTCCCGCTGTTCGCTAATGGGATGCGACCGGATGCGACGTAGAAACGTGTCGGCCATCTTAGGTCAGGCAGCTGCCCCCTTTCGTGACATTGGGTTGTATGGTGCATGTACTTTTTAAATAACTCTAACTTGCTCAATTTACAGACGATTTTCAAAAGGTTTGATTTTTTATAAACGACAGAGATGTGTCTATGAAATATGATTGGTTTGGCCCAGAAATTGCTGTTATTCGACACCACAAAGCATTTAATCTTCTTAATAGACAACACATTTAATTGTAAGCTACACTAACTCATAGTATTTATTAGGGGCTGTATGACTAGTCGACTAGTCTACTTCACTGCTCTGTAGTGACTTTTTATGCCTTTCAGCGACCGGTAGCTGTAACGTGATACTGAGCGACAAGATGCAGTCCACGGAAAAGACAGCAGGTGATGAGCCCCTGCGCATCGGGAGGCAACGCGCTGTGCCAGAGCGACGGTACTGACACCCGTGGTAAAACGGACCTATAACCAAATTGTGACATTTAACTTCCCCTCACCCCCATCCTAATCTTAACCAGCTTGCGCATGCAAAGCTCTGATTGTTGACGCGCTCCAGACATCTGCGTCCTGAGCACGGCCACAGTAACATTATCAAATTAGGTGTCGCCACCTCAAAAACAAATTTCTAACACGCAATCGTTCATGTCGGCTCATTTTCTTTTAACTTTTCTGTCTTTTATTTGTGCTGATGCTTTTAGCTGCTGTGGAGCGGGGCGCATCACCTGTTTTGTCCTCCGGTGACTCACCTCACCGATGCGGCCGGCGAGCAGCGCGCACCCCGCCGTTTTTGTGGTCGGTAGATCTTTTAGAACTGCAGTTCAAAGGTAACTCATAAGGTGAATATTTATGAACCCAGGTAGCAGTTTATCTTTAGGATTGAGAGGAGATGCAGGAAGATAATAAACAGGCAGGAGAGAAAAATAGTCACATAAAAACAAGCTAGTTTTTGTACCTTCTGGTTGCAACAAACAGACACCATTGAAGGTAATCAGAAGTGAGGAACAGAAAATGAAATAATTATTTTACTGTTTAGAGCAGCAGGAACTCTGAGAGGCTGCAGGCGCACTGCGCATGGGGAGGGGGAGAGAGCTGAAGTGGAGCAGTATAGATGCAGAATTAGAATTAGAATTAAACTTTAGTGTCATTGCACATGTACAGGTGCAGGGCAACGAAATGCAGTTTGCATCCATCCAGAAAGTGCTTTAGCCGTGATATAGATGTATTAAAATATATTTTAGCAATAATATAGATGTGTAAGTATATTACAGAAATGCATCTATGACGTATGTCATAATGTACACGGTGTGAAGTATGTTATGAATATTCTATGACTATAAGTATGTACAGGCTGTAGTTAATACAAGCAGTCCATGAGTTTAACATGGGTCATATGTCAGGAGGCAGAGTTCAGGAGTCTGACAGCTGTTGGGAAGAAACTGTTCCGGTAACTGGTGGTCTTAGTCCGGAGGCTCCTGTAGCGCCTCCCAGAGGGCAGCAAGGTGATCAGTGCATGTGATGGGTGACTGTGGTCTCTGATGATTTTCCTAGCCCTTTTCAGACACCGCTTCCTGTAGATGTCCTTTATGGCAGGAAGTGGTGCTCCGGCGATGCGCTGGACAGTTTTCCCGACCCTCTGCAACGCCTTCCGGTCCGAGGCGGAGCAGTTCCCATACCAGACTGTTATACAGTTGGTCAGGATGCTCTCGATGGTGCAGTGATAGAAGTTCACCAGGATGTCTGAGGACAGGTTGTTCTTCCTCAGAGTACTCAAGAAGAAGAGGGGCTGGTGAGCCTTCTTGACCAGCTTGGAGCAGTTTGTAGTCCAGGTGAGATCCTCTGAGATGTGGACTCCCAGGAACTTGAAGCTGCTCACACGCTCCACTGCCGTCCCCTTAATGTGGATGGGTGGATGTGGGTCAGCATTCCTCCTGTAGTCCACGATGAGCTCCTTAGTCTTCTCAGTGTTGAGCAGCAGGTTGTTTGTGTCGCACCACTCAGTCAGACGGTCCACCTCCTCCCTGTAGGCGGTCTCATTGTTGTCACTGATGAGGCCAATCACCGTGGTGTCATCTGCAAACTTAATGATGGTGTTGGAACCATCAGCAGGTCTGCAGTCGTGGGTGAAAAGGAAGTAGAGGAAAGGGCTCATCACACAGCCTTGTGGTACACCAGTGTTCATTGTGATTGTTGATGAGCAGCGGTTATCCAGTCGGGCATGTTGAGGGCGGTTGGTCCTCAAACTACCGCTGTTAAAAGAGATGCGTTTAACTTTGAAAATGTGGGCGCAATTTTAATTGTCAAAAACTCCAGCGACCCCACACCCACCCCCCCACCCCCACGCCGCTTCAGGTGTATGACGTCATCAACGACTAGTCAAAGTCGACTCAATTTTCATTACTTGACAGTCGACTTTAAAAAAAATTAAGTCGTGCAGAGCCCCTAGTATACATATAGTATCACACTTTCAGCACGTTAGTGCTGTAACATGCAGAAATGGTCAATTTTCACCTACATATGGACCAACACAATGGCCGTGTTCGAGTTGAGCTGCGCCTCGCCTGGAAAACAGACGAGAGCAGACGGAAGCAGCAGGAAGAGTGGCGGAAAGCCGGCGTTTAAGTCGGACAGATTTCCCTACATGTGTAGCTCGGGGATGACGATGGATGAAGATATCGCGTTAGCGTTCACACTTGCTTAATTTTCAGTTTTAATTCTGGTGCCTGTTAGCAGCTGAAACATCCTCACGTGCTTGTGGATATCATATATTGTATATGGAGACATGACTGTAATAATAAGTAAAGGTTATCAGCTGTAGCTTCAGTGTGCTCATAGGAAATGTGACAAAAGAAAACAAAACACATTTCTCCTTATGGCCTATATAGTTGTCATCATCAACGTAACATGATTTACAGAATACATGTGAACAACTAACATTTCATGTTCTACCACCGGATGTTTGGATCAAAATATGAACCAATCAGATCTTTGATCAGGTGAGAGCCAGGCGTTTCCCATCATCCTCTAGGTTTTGCAGCCGAGGGAGAGCAACTGCAGCGCCTTGCTCCAAAATCTGCGGCCGCCTTGATCTCACGAGGTTATCGTTGCCTACGTAGGCATGACGTCAGAGCAAGTCGGCGTCAAGTCGGACACGAATCTAACCGGCATGCACTGCTCACCGATCACCGGTGATCGAATCTGCGCAGAACTGGCTCATCTCGAACACAGTCAATGTCTGGTCACCTACAGACCTTATTCCACTATCCGAGTGCAGTTTCTATCCTGTCTTCTAAAGCCCAGAAGATTCTGCAGCCCTTGTTGACGTTTCAGGGGGAACAAGATGTCAGCCTATGTCCCCAAACAAAGCCTACTTTGATAAGACCGCAGGATCGCACACTCTCATGAAAGAACAACTTTTGCAACTCATAAGTTAAATAATCATTAAATAATAATATGGTTGAATGAACAAATATTATATGAATACTAATATTAATGTTTGAATATTCTGTGCTTAAATTACTGAAGTGAAATGAATGTTATTATTACACTGAAAGATTAACGAGTGTGACAGTGTGAGCGTCCTGTCACAGAGTCCCGATTGATCATGCACCCTGCTACTTGGCCAAGGGGATGTCCCTTTGGCTAACTGGTTAGCGCACGTAACTCTTACCCGGGAGTCAGGGGATCGAATCCCGCCCGGGCCCTCGTTTCTCCACCTTGCCACATTTGGCGTTGTTGGCAGGATCCATGTAGTACTGTCAAGTAGGTCCATGGATGTGAAGTTTGTGGCACCCTGCGCGGGAGCACGAGGACATGCTTATGGAAAGAGGGGGGAAGATGTGGCAGTGTGAGTGTCCTGTCACAGTGTCCCGATTGATCATGCGCCCTGGCTACTTGGCCAAGGGGATGTCCCTTTGGCTGACTGGTTAGAGCGTACGACTCTCACCCGGGAGTCTGGGGATCGAATCCCGCCCGGGCCCTCGTTTCTCCATCTTGCCACACAAGGATGAAATTCAGTATATGACCCATATATTTAATCAGCACACTGACTGGACAAGACACATTCACCATATCTCAATGACAAGTTATAATCAACGTCACTGCACATAGATACTTTCTTATCCACTAAATCAGCATCTTCATATCTGAGGGAGGTGTGTATCTGAGTTTGTTGGCAAAACCCCTTTACAGGGCAAGTTCTGATTTATGACCAAACAGAGATATGGCCATTATTTAAAACAGCATCACTCCCTGAGTTGTCTACTCGGTCGGTAACAAGTTGGCGCCTGTGCTTGGCTTAGCCGCGGTCACCGGCCACTTTTTCAAACTTTTCTCCACTAACCTCCTCTTTTCCACCTTGCTCCTGTCTGTGATCCTCTTCAGTAGTGTCCCTGCTACCATCTCCTATGATCGCCAGACTCTTTTGTGCTTCCGTTCGTTCACGATCGCCCAAGATGCACCGAGGACGTACCTCCCTGCTTGTTTATCGGAGTGGCGCACTGGCCCGGAGCCAAATGACGATTCCAACCAGGGCGCCTCCAGCTATGTTTGTCCGGTCCCGGGAAAACGTCGGAGGAAAAGTGGTAAACGAGCAGGAATCCAGGTGAGAATAAGACTTCTCTTAAAGCGTGGTTTATCTAGTAAACATCGGCGTGATCTTCTAGCTTCTTGTCCTTTGTTTGGCGACTTGAGCGCCACTTCCGTCCACTAACTCCGGCTGTTTCTGTAGTTTCTGGTTCCTCCACCTCACTCAGCATGGCTCTATTAAATACCCGCTGCAGTTGAATAGTTTCTTTTATCCTGAAATTTTTTTGTCTGCGTAACCACTAACAGTCTTCACCCAGGTCTTGTTTTAGAGCTGCAAAGTCTTTCAATTTTCACAGGTTAATCCCTATAGGGAGCCTAAGTCGCGCCCATCTACTTCTGGACCATGGGCAGGGCCAACAGGGCTGGACTGGGACAAAAATTCAGCCCGGACATTTTGAGCCGACACTGGGCCACCAGCTATTGAAGTAAAAACACAGATACCTAATTTTTTACACCAGCTCTCTAACCTTGGTTCTCAGTATTCCTTATCCATCATGTTTTAGTTGTTTCCCTGCTCCAGCACAAAAAACTGGAAAACAGAAAACAGCTAAATATAAATTTGATAAAACCTAAGTTGCCTTCTATGCCCTAAAGCTTTTTCACACACACACACACACACACACACACACACACACACACACACACACACACACACACACACACACACACACACACACACACACACACACACACACACGGGATAATGGATGGTGGCCCTCGGTAGTTTAGAAACTCTGGATACGGCCCTGCTACTGTCTCTCATCGCGAAGCACCGCAGCTAGAGAGGAAGAAGCCTGTGGCTTTTCAAAATAAGGTAAACATTTAACGTTTCATGATATTTAAATTATTTCAAACTACGATTATGGTTAGCATAAGTGCGCAAATACAGGCTATATGTGTCACTTCTTACGTTATTGTACAGTAGTGTAACGGGTTACGATTTGTTGTGGTTGGACTTTTATGTTGAAGGGATGTTCTTGGCCGGCTGTGTGCAGAGTTCCGGTTCGGTTGTTTAGAAGAAAACGAGCTAGTGTGATCGGAGATCGTTAACGGTGTTTCTGCTGGAGTTAAGACGTGGGCTGCGGCCAACAGTAACCCGGAATAAAGATCCGAAACGGAAACAACAAGTTGGAGTCATTAGCATCTCTTAGAAAAGGCAACAAAAGTGTGTTTTATAGGTGTGGTGGCTTTTGTTGAGCCGTGGCGGTGCGACACGAACTAGTTTAGCCCAGCAGAAAGGCCCCGCGGCTGGCTGGACCCAGCTCGACACAGCAGCAGAGCGGTAAGCTTCATATCACTCTAAAATGTCGGCTAACTTTACTGTACACGTTCATTTACGGGCATTAGCAGCGTGCTAGCATTAGCATCCCACCTGCTAGCGCTAGCACAACATGCTAGTAAAGCTAGCACCCAGATTAATGTGGATTCGGACGATTTTCGTGGAATAAAACGTGATCTGGGAATTGTGATGAACGCCTTTTTACACCAGATGATAACCTTCCACTGACTGTAGCAGCAGAGCGCCTGTGTGTGTTACTCCGTGAGTGTGATGTGATGTTAGCATCCAGTAAATAAATCCCACATCAGCTAAAGAGCAGCGCGACTAAGTGGTTAAAGTGCGTCAGCACAGCGGATTTAATACGAGTTTAAAGAACAATCTCTGAGTGAAGTGAGGCTAGTTTTTGTTTCTCTGCAGATATAAAAACCAACTCTGCATCAGTCACACGCAGCTAAGCTCACCGGCACTCGTCTGCATGAGCGTCAGAAATCTGATCAAATCAGCTGTAAAATAATGAAAACAACAGTAAAAATGCTCCTTTGCTTTTTAGAGTCCACATCCAGAAGGCTGGAGCCGTGTTTCACTGACAGGCTGTCAGACTAACGCCCTGATGATCTCAGCTGGGACAAACTGGTCTGATGTTTAGGTAAGTGAAGATCTGCTTCTCCAAGGCCTTGAGATGCTAGTAAAAATAATGTAGGCAGTGCTAATGTTACTTTTCTTCTCCTCTGAGGAACACAGAACGCTCAGATGTTGGAGCTTCACGTCACCTACTGAGGAGCACCAGTAAAGAGACGGCGTCTGGACCAGACCAAAGTGAGTGATGACACTTTAGCCCTACACCTCAGCCTCTAGGAGCCACCCTCATCATCATTAACTCATTCACTGCCAGTTTACATTTTTTACTGTGTGGGCGTCGGACGAGCCCCCGCACCGTGAGAACAAACATCTCAGCTCTAAAGTCGATCTTCATCCACATACGTCACACGTCACGTGATCAGGAAGCAGAACATCCGTGTGTTAGGAGATCGTTTTGGGCCGCTGCTGTAAAAAAAGTGAGGCGCGAACCGGAAAAGCTTCTGCCGATCACAATTCAACAACGGATGATGAAAGAACGGATAACGCTCGAAACACGCGGATTCTTCCTGATGTAAGAGGCGAGTCTCCGCTTTGTTTTGGTTGTTTTGGCATCGACATCATGCTAGCGTGCAACGTTCTGTCACTCTTAAAAAAACAGTAAAAACGGTGAGAAACACTGGCAGCGAATGAGTTAACAGGTTACAAAGTTAATCATAGTTGTTGATGAGTAGGGTTGGGCATCGTTTGATTTTGAACGATTCAGATTCCTCGTATCGATTCCGGTTCCTATCGATTCCCGATTCAGATTCTTTGAAGACATGACGTGCTTTACATGAGCCAGCTGACCACAGGTCCTACTGGAGGAAATAATCTTAACTTCAACATGAGTTTTAACTCTGAACAACAACATCACCTTCATTCAGACACAAACATAAACGTCTCCAACAGATCCAGAAGCGTCCAGCTGTTTTCAGCTCCAACTCTCAGGATGGTCATGTCCAGGATGACTGAGAACTACACCTCCATGCTGCAGCAGCTTCACTCAGAAACCTAACCGCAGCTGCTGTCAGTGACAAGCTAACAGGTTTTAAACGTTAAACTCTCAACAGAAACAGTTCAGAAAGGAAATTAAAATGTTATTTATTATTATTATTATTTATGGTGGCAGAAGCTGGTGTGGTCCACCTCAGAGAAGCTGCTCTAGCATGATGACTTTAATTATTCTACAGGTTATTGTTCAGCCTTCTGACGCTCACACACACACACACACACACACACACACACACACACACACACACACACACACACACACACACACACACACACGAGTGTAGGGCTGCAGCTATCGAATATTTTTGTAATCGAGTACTCTAATAAATGACCCTTTTGTGTTTGCAAACCATCATATCAAACAGCATGTTATAAAACATGAAAGACCTCTTCAAATGAGCAGTTGACAGTTATTCTTCAAGTTTTATTCAAAATTAGTTTTCAAAACTTCAACTTTACTTCACAGTAAACAAATGTCTGTGCAAAGCATAAGTACACAACCTGAGCCCATTTTCCCCTCGCGCGAGAATCTGCTAGCCTGCAAGCCAGAGGAGAACTGTTGAAGTAGCGCTGCGAGCAGCTGCGGCCCAAACAGAACCAGAACCGCTCACGGTGCATGCGCCATCAGCTCGCCGGCTGTTTCCCTATTAACACACGTCCGTTTTAATTTCTACACTTTTTTTCTCACACTAACAAGGATTGTCGAAAGCATGTTTGCTGTGGTTTTGTCAAATTATACTGATCACACAACATTTATTTACTTTCTTTCCACTCATAAATACCCGTGTCCTCCTGCAGAAACCCCGAGGGACAACAAACATCAATAACAACACAATAAAAAGTCCGACATGTTGTGTAAAAACTGCTATTTTTAGCACATTTTAAGTCTGACGTGTTGCTAGCAGACGTACGGTGTGAGCTGAAACTGAGTGCTACAAATGAAAAAGTTGCACAGTGTCTGCAGAATATATAGAGATACAGGCTAAGATGCATTATCTTGTAGAGGCTCCGAGTCCGCTTGTTAGCAGAGTTTCGTTTACCCAGCGGTTGGTCCAAGACTCCAAAATGAATCTCCAGGATTAAAAAGGAGGAAATAAATCCATAAACAGAGCGTCTGTTTCACGGGCCTTCACTGGTGGTAGCACACACTGATTGCGGCCACTAAACACCAATGCTCCCTTTTATTGGTCACTTTACGGGGTCAAAGTTTAACTTCCTCTACAGGTACTTTTCAGAATAAAAGCATACATGTATATACACACACATTCTTATCTACATATTTACACAGATGCATAACATAACAGAGCACATTAGACTGGTGCTTAACACCGCCTGCAGAAGTGACATTTACAGGTGGTGCAGCACGGAGGATGTGGTGTTGTGGTGGGCTAAATCCATTTTACAGTGTTTATACTGGACCACGTTTTCCACCTTAGGACGTGAAAAAGGGCCCCACACCCAGGGCTGCTCAATTAATCGAATTTTAATCACGATGACGATCTGGGCTTTCAGCGATCATTAAAAATGACTGAGCCGGTTATTAGCACCTCCCTCGTGCTTTACTCTCGCGTGGCAAATCGAGCGCACCTCTCTGCGTTTCGAACACGTGACGCGTCACATCAAGAGTAAAGCTAGTAAAGCATCGCCTCAGAGGAAAGCTAAGCAGACGCTATTTGGAGAGGAGAGGATAAAGAAAGAGTTCCGTTGGTTGAACAGCGAGGTAGAACTACTTCAGTGGTGTGGAAACTTCGCGGGTTCGTGGAGCAGACGTGAATCAAGTCGATATAGTGTGTAAGCTTTGCTACGGTGTTGTAGCGGCACCACAGGGCAACACTACCAACTTATTTAATCATTTGAGGACCGCTCACAAAGTAACATACGATGAACCAATGACGGAGCATAGACAAACCCCTCAACAACACCGGCTTCATCCTCACAGACCTCCATTCACGCTACCCTGTACAACGCCACTAAATACCCCACCAGCTCCAGAGACACAAGGAGATAACAAACGCCGTAACGTTGTTCCTCGCCAAAGACCAGTGCTCAGTCAACACAGTGATCAACCCCGGTGTTACGCCCCCTCTCTGCAGGTCTAGGAGGATGAGGGGGCTAACACAAGCAAATAGGTGTAAAAGTGTGTGTGAGGATAAAGGACGAGGAGGTTCGAGTAAAAACAAAAGGATTTATTAACATAAGGTGTCCGTGGGTAAACGGCATAAATAAGGCTTCATAATAACAAACTACACCATAAGCAGTCTCACTGCTTATGACAAAGGCTTTCTGCCAAAATGCAAAATATCCCCGGCTCAAAAGTCCTATGGGGATAAAAAGAAAAACACCACAAAGGCTTAACCCTTAACAAGGTGTGTGAAAACACACTCAGAAGGTACCCAGGCTAATCCGGGATCCTTAGTAGAGAACCTAAACATAAATGAGCGAGGGAGAATCTCAGGCTACTCCTGGATCTCTATCAATAACCTTAAACCCAGCAGGAACGGTGTAAACAGCCTTAAACCTGTCTGGTAACGGTCGCTAAAGTGTCCGTGAGCTAAAGGAGAATCTCTGGCTACTCCAGGATCTCCTCGATGTCTGTTGCGTTCCTCCTTTTAAAGAGCTGGGAGCTGCTTGATCGCTGATGAAGATCAGCTGCTGTCTCTGCTGGCGTGCCTCTCTCCGAGGTCCTGAAAGGGCGCTGGAGCGCTGGAGAGTGTGAGCTGGCCGCTCCTGGCGCTGTCCCTGGTGCTGGATCCCGTGCAGCGGGGACAAAAGGCTCAGGCTAGGATGAGAGGACGGACCGAGGGGACGAGGGTCGTCACAGCCTCCCCCTAAACAGCTAAGAAAGACAGTCATTAAAAAGGATTGTCTTTCTTAAAGAACAAGCTCTAAAAACCAACTCAGAGGAAAAAAAACAATGCCTATGGAGAACAAATCTAGGATTCATTTCAGGTTGAAAAAAAAAAACGGATGAGTCCCCACTGACTGCCTAACATTTCTTCTCTAAAAAACTTCAGTCTAGGCTTCATGTGATTGCAGGCGGGCAGATTAAGCACATGTTTTCCGAAGAAAACATACTAACCAGCAAGGAAGAGGGGTGGCCAAGCCGGCCCCTTTTCCTCCTGGGGTGCTCCCGAGATGGTGCCCAAAAGGACACCAACACTAGCCGCGACACACAACACTAATAAAAAAAACAAACAGGACATACCCCAAAGGGGGTATACCTCTAAAACCTACCTGGGAACTCACCGCTTTGTTTAAGTTTATCTGTAATATCCATAGAATAAAAGAAAGGCACTATTCTACAAAACCACGAGAGTTGCTCTCGTTTCACTCCTATGAACACGGAAGTGTTTTCTGGTTATTTCTCTTTTACTGTCGCCTTTACAGTGCACCAAAAACCACGAGACCGATCATCAGCAACCACATCCTCGCGGCTCCTCTTATTCCGGGATCTGAACCAGGGACCTCTCGCACCCAAAGCGAGGATCATACTCCTGTTAAGGTCCCGCACTTGAAGTATGAGGGTCCACCTCAGCAACTGTTGATTTTCATTCCTGGAGAGAAAACTTACACGGTTAAGATCGAGATTAGTGAAATGATGCAAAAACAGTAACACGGCAAGAATGAGACAGAAAGAAAAGGAAAGAGGGTTTGTCGGTCGTGGACTAGAAATGGAACGCAGTGTTAGCTGGTCGTCCCCCTCAGGGATGGGAGTGAAGGATGCGGCTGCGCACACCGCAGCTTCAGAAACCTCTGATGTTGATGCCTGAGGGGAATGGTACAGATTCTGCATTTGGACGTGACAAGCCCTAGACTTGTGGTGACAATGAGGAATGGAAATTCTAGTAGTAGTATAATTGATTTCCCTCACCACAACACAACAACCGGACTCATCACCATCAGTACTCTTAAAGTCCCGAAAACATCCATTCAAGCTGTCATCACGACGCTGCTCCTCTCCTAAAGTCATCCGGGGTAAAGGCAGACACCCCGACGTGAGCGACACGCCTTCATCCTCGGTGTCGGCGGTAATGTCCGCATTGTGGTCGTGGACGTGATGGTCCTCTTTATTGTGTCCATCATCAAAGAGAGAGGATAACTGTAAGGTTTCCTCCTGTTTACGTGCCTGGGCACGGGTTATGACACATGCAGGATAAATTCCTGGCTGCTCCTTAACGCACGAACTGGTGTCTGAGCACGGGTCATTTAAAACTTGGAATGGAGGGACCACATTTCCTCCAGCAACATCGTTTCCGAGCAGGAGATTTACTCCAGCGATCGGCAACGATGGGCAAACCGCCACATCAAAATAACCTCTGGCTAGCTCGCAAGAAAGAAAGACTCGGTGTAACGGCCGAGAAATCGGCTCACCATTTATTCCGTTCAGCAGAACTGACACGCCCGTTGCACTGCTCTCGTTAAAAATCATGACATCGCTAGTTATGAGCGTTTGTGATGCCCCAGTATCGCGCAAGATGATAACTGGAGCTTGGTCAGAACTTGACTCATTTAGCTGAACCACACCTTTGGACAAAAATGGTTGAAAACAGTCGTTTATTTCTGTCACGACCTGCTTGTTTTTCGTTATAAAACCAACCTCACGTGAGGGGGAGGTTTTCTGTTCGTTTTTCCTTTTTAATTTGTAACAGTCTTTTACTACATGCCCAGACCGATGACAGTAAACACATCTTGGCTGGTGGGCGTTTACCGAACCGCTGTGAGCAGGCCTCATCATAGGAGGCCGTCTGGCATCTCTGGGTGGCAGTTCGCCGCTAACGCGGTGCGTTAATGAATATTCATCCGCCAACAAAGCTGCAGAAGACAAAGTCGCTACCTTTTGTTCATTCAAGTATAAAACGGTGCGTTCCGGTAAACATCTCTTGAACTCCTCTAACAGGATTAATTCCTTCAGCTCAGTAAAAGAAGACACTTTTGATGCTGCAACCCACTTTTCAAATAATAAAAGCTTTTCTCTGGCGAACTCGACAAACGTCTGATGTGGCTGTTTATTGGTTAATGCTCGAAATCTTTGTCGGTATGCTTCTGGGACCAGTTCATAAGCAGTTAACACTGCACTTTTCACACATTCGTAATCTAAACTGTCAGAAAGGGACAAAGAAGACATTACCTCCTGGGCTTTTCCGGTGAGCTTGCACTGGAGGATCAACGCCCACACGTCACGAGGCCACTCAAGAGCTGCAGCAATGCGCTCAAATATCTGGAAGTAGCTGTCCACCTCAAACTCCCGAAAAGGTGGCACCAACACAATGCATTTACTTATGTCCAGTCTCTGTTTTATTCCAGGGGTAGTTTCTTCTCTTGTGGTGTCGGGTTCTGTCACATCCTTGTGCGTGTCAACATGTGGGTCATTTTGTTGGGAAATTTCGGCTTGTCTCCAAGCCTGGGCTTCCAGCTCAAGTCTTTTTAGCTTGATCTGTGTGTCGGCTTCCAGATCCATTCTGCGGATCTCCAGCTCCATCTCCATCAGACGGCGCTTCTCCTTTTCCTCGGCCTCATACTTTAGCTGAGCCATTCGGACTTTCAGACGTAGGTTAAAACGCTCCAGCGAACTCGGAGTAGAAGCTGGTGAGACAGGATCAGACTTGGGCAAAGTTAGTGGTGAAGAAGGGGTCTTACTGTGAGCCGGCGGGGTCTGGTAGCCGGGAGCCGTCTCCTCGGGTGCCGCCGAAGATGGTCCTGCTCCGTTCTCATGGCTTGCGGCGTCATCCGCACGCGGGGAAAGGACAGGAAGATCTCCAGTCCCTTTTGCAGGCAACAAGTTCAAGTTTTCCAAGGCAGCAATAACTGTCTCTTTTAGAACCTGTTTCGTCATTGTGCGGGTGCCATGGAGATCAAGGTGCTCAGCCACCTCCACCAGATCGCTCTTGCGGCAGGCCTCGAGCGCTTCCCGCGACGGTGCACGCAGAAACTCCTTTAAAGAAAACATAATTATTATAGAGCTCACCTGGGAAGAGCTAAAATCCAGAGAGTGAAACCACCAAAATGAAAGAGTCCCAGGGTACTTAACACACACTTAAGCGCAATGGGAAAAAAAAAACGCGGCGCACAACCTATTTCTTTATTACCGGGCAGACTTAGATTAAGTTCCAATTATTTATAACTCAAATAGATCCCGGACGAGCCCCCATTATGTTACGCCCCCTCTCTGCAGGTCTAGGAGGATGAGGGGGCTAACACAAGCAAATAGGTGTAAAAGTGTGTGTGAGGATAAAGGACGAGGAGGTTCGAGTAAAAACAAAAGGATTTATTAACATAAGGTGTCCGTGGGTAAACGGCATAAATAAGGCTTCGTAATAACAAACTACACCATAAGCAGTCTCACTGCTTATGACAAAGGCTTTCTGCCAAAATGCAAAATATCCCCGGCTCAAAAGTCCTATGGGGATAAAAAGAAAAACACCACAAAGGCTTAACCCTTAACAAGGTGTGTGAAAACACACTCAGAAGGTACCCAGGCTAATCCGGGATCCTTAGTAGAGAACCTAAACATAAATGAGCGAGGGAGAATCTCAGGCTACTCCTGGATCTCTATCAATAACCTTAAACCCAGCAGGAACGGTGTAAACAGCCTTAAACCTGTCTGGTAACGGTCGCTAAAGTGTCCGTGAGCTAAAGGAGAATCTCTGGCTACTCCAGGATCTCCTCGATGTCTGTTGCGTTCCTCCTTTTAAAGAGCTGGGAGCTGCTTGATCGCTGATGAAGATCAGCTGCTGTCTCTGCTGGCGTGCCTCTCTCCGAGGTCCTGAAAGGGCGCTGGAGCGCTGGAGAGTGTGAGCTGGCCGCTCCTGGCGCTGTCCCTGGTGCTGGATCCCGTGCAGCGGGGACAAAAGGCTCAGGCTAGGATGAGAGGACGGACCGAGGGGACGAGGGTCGTCACACCCGGCTTTACGAAGCTAATCAACACTTTGGACTAACGGTATAACTTGCCATCTCGTCACTATTTTAGTCGAGTGGCGATTCCCGCTTTATATGATGAGTGTCATGATGGTGTCGCAAAGGAAGTGGCTACGGCCCAATATTTTCCCACCACAACGGACTTGTGGTCAAGCCGCACCATGGAGCCTTATTTGAGCCTCGCGGTACATTTCATTGACGTGGATGTCAACATGAAAACCAAATGTCTCCAGACATGATTTTTCCCAGAAGACCACACGGGGCAGAACATGGCTGCAGGTCTGAAACAAGCACTGGCTACGTGGGATCTGGAGGAGAGTAAACTCGTCTGTATAACCACAGACAACGCTGCAGACGTCATACTGGCTGCAGAACTGAATGGCTGGATGAGGCTCCAGGGCTTTGGGCACAGGTTACATTTGGCCATAGGTGAGTAGGCCTAATTCCTACTGAATGTGATGCATAATGTGGTTTGCTTGTAACAAGTATACAACATAATGCTTCGAATGAATATACTATCTAAAAAAGTATTTATATTCAGAGGTACTTTTATTCCTTCTCAAAGTGATGCACATTTTCTATCAATTATACAAACACATAAATAAGCTACCATCACTTTTTCTTATTCATTCACACTCAAGGAAATGACATCATCCTCCTGATACTGCTTGTTTATATTTTCATGTTTTTACAGAAGGAGCCATGAAAGATCACAGGGTTGAGCGTGCAGTGGGGGTCTGCAAAAAAGTGGTCCGCACCTTTTCATTCAGTTGGAAAAAGAGAGAGAGAGCTGAAAAAGGCACAGATAGACCTCAAACTGCCAGACCACTCCTTAAAGACCGAGTGTCCAACCAGATGGGGATCCAGGCAGGCCATGCTTTCCAGAGTCCTTGAGCAGCAGAAGGCCTCTGCCCATGTCCTCTCCCAAGACAAAGGAACTAGGCGCCTCATCCCCTCATGGCAGGACATCGATGTCCTTGAGGCCGTCAACAAGACCCTGGGACCTCTGGTTGAATTCACTGATGCGCTTTCTGGAGAGAAACATGTGTGTGTGTCTTTAATAAAACCAACACTCCAACACTGAGCAAGATGATGCCACAGACCTCTCAAAAAGCATCAAGAGGAGAATCCTGGAGTAGCTAAATGAAAAGTACGGTGACTCACCAACACAAGAGCTGCTTGGCATGGCCACTGTCCTGGACCCAAGGTTCAAACTGAGATATGCAAGCGAGGTCAGCCAAGAAACCATCACAGTAGGGCTGGCGATGAAGTCCATCACGGTGTGTGTGTGTGTGTGTGTGTGTGTGTGTGTGTGTGTGTGTGTGTGTGTGTGTGTGCGTGTGTGGGCATATTTAACAAACTGTGTTGATACGGTGTCTAAACGCTGTCGCTTCCAAGGACTGAATAACATCTACTACATCAACAGGAGTCTACTGACACCTGCTGGATCTTCTATCTCATTACAGGCAACATAATTAGAGATTCAGGTAGTCTCCTGATTAAATAACTTTATATAAGTATATTTATGAAGCCTAATTGTATTCCATATTGTACACTGCGTTATTTAATATCTTAATCTGATTTTAAAATGTTATATTTAAAGTACGATATCATTATAAATTATCTGAATGTCAGTCACAACTTGTGAAAAAATGAAATTAGAAGTGTGATGTTGCCCATGGACTGACTTATTTGGACTTATTTGGTTTTAGTGAAGAACTTATTATTATTATTATTTACATTTGAAAGCAGAATCGGAGAGGAAGAGGATGAAACAAGGAACCAAAGATCCAAACGGTCCCACGCTGCAGACAGCTGTTTATTTTCTCTCTGCTTCCATGATGGAGGCGTTCAGGGAATCATTTTGGTTCTGAAGATGAGCTTTTTCTACAAACTCACCCCGTTGTCGGATGCAGACGCTCCTCCATTTCAACACAGTTTGCCGCTTCAGTAACAGGCGACACAGCAGCTGACTCGGTCCCGTGACTGGTTCTTAAAGTGATACACGCACCGATACGGGGTTTCGCTCTCTGAGCTTGATACAGGCGTCGAGGCGTCGTTGTTGCTGGACCCATCACTACCATCTATCATTATTTATAGTAATTATTTAAGGACTGTACTGTAGAATGCCAAACCCGAGACCGATAAAACTGGTTCCTCATTCTGTGTTGCGGTCATTTTATGTTTGTCCCATTAAAGAAGGCTGCAGTGATGGGGACACCCGTTGGTAACACGGAGGTTGCTGATGATGGTGCATCAAACCAAACAAAGAGGAAAAGGGGCCTAAGCAGCTTCTTTAAGGCCCCTCTCAGCCCAGCAGCTCCAGGTGCAGAACATACTCTTCAACTGGACCAGGCCATAGCTTGTGAGCTTCAGGGGTACCTCCAGGCAGGGACCCTGGACACAGAGGAAGACCCACTGGGGTGGTGGAAGCCATCACAGAACCTCTTCCCACGACTCTCCATCCTGGCAAAGAAATATCTTTGCATCCCAGCCACAAGGGCCTCATCAGAAAGGGTCTTCAGCACTGGTGGACATGTTGTCAACTGCCTGCGTGCATCCCTAAAGCCTGACCATGTTAATAGGCTGGTGTTGTTGGCTAAAAACCTTTGAAAGGTTGCAGGAACCATGTTTTGTTGAGCCATCTTAAGATTGTATGGGACTCTGGCCTACTAGTTTTTGTTTATTTCTTATGAAAGGTACTACTTTCAGTGTTTAATTTTATTTTTGTTCAGGCAGCAACTTTAGGTGACACACCTCAATGTCAGTTTGGTTATTTGTATGCATAAATATTATGCAGTAGTTTGAAGTTCACTGAACATTAATGTTTACATTTTTTTTTATTTCTTATATTGCAAAGCAAACATTTGCACAGTGGTCAGTATTTGCACACCATTTTATATTTTTTGACCATCTTTAAAGCAATTATTCAATACATTGTTATTGTTGAATAAATATCGTGAAATAATCGAGATCTCAATTTCATTGAAAATAATCGTGATTTTCATTTTCGCCATAATCGAGCAGCCCTACCCACACCTTTGACGTTTTCTGTCTTTTTCCCACTCCACCGGGGTCCACGTTGTCTGCCATGGCGTAAGAGAAAGTTAAGTTACATTCGCTACTCGCGTGTTGAGTGGGCGTCTAGTGGGCATGTGTCACTTATTTCAGTCCAGCCACTGAAATTAATTAAGCCACAAATTAATTAAATATAAATTAAACGAATCCTCGAGGCAGAGAATTTGACTCGAGGCTTTTTTGTACTCGAATTATTCGAGGTTCTCGAGGAATCGTTTCAGCCCTACACGAGTGTTGGTGAGCGGCTGCGTCTGACTGCTGACGCTCCGTGTGTTTTTATTTCTGCAGTGAGACAAACTCACCTCACACCGTCCAGAGTTTGTGCTTTAACGCTTCTATAAAATCCACCGTGTTGACGTATTTAACACGTTTCCTCTACGCTGCAGGAGTTAACGTTTACATTACGGAGTAAAGGTTCAGCAGACGCGTTTGTTTATATTTGGGTGGGGGGAGGGGGGACTCGGTGCTGCACACACACAGCTGGTGTGATCAGCTCTAAAAAGCGTTAATCACAATTTGAAGATCACGTTTATTTTTCACGGAGATCGGCCGCGGATTCCTCTTCCGTCGGCATTCTAGAAATCGAAACTAGGAATCAAAATAAAAAACTGAACAAGTCTGGGAAAAACGAACAGTTTGTCCCGGTTCCAATCGATGCTCGATGCCCAACCGTATTGATAAGCTTTCATCTTGTCTTTATTATTAGATGTCACATAGCTGATCACACTTCAGACAAGAAGCTAATGATGGTATATTAGAGCATCCTGGTGCAATAAGCTAAACCTTTATGAATGACACGATTAGTCGACTACTACAATAGTCGACTCAAGTCATCACTGGCAGTGAATGGGTTAAAAATAATCATTAAAAAGACCTAAATGAAAGAATTAATTAATAAAACTAATTAAAATGACTTAAAATCTAATAACTACTAAAACTAGAGGTGTGAATCTTCACTTGTCTCCCGATTCGATTACCATTATTGGGTCAATGATTCATTTCGATTCGCCTGTCCAGCGCCTGTCCAGAATGCCAGGTCCTCGACCCCCCCATTCGGTACTTGAGCTGATGAAACAGCGTCAGCAGTACAACAGACTAGTCTTTGGATTGTCTCCAGGTAAAAAGCGACAGTTAGTTGACAGCGTCAGATGGAGCCCTTGGGGTCAGTGAGTGCAGCTTTTATTCTGAAAGGAACCGTTGCTTGGTTGGAAAAATGCAACAGATTTTATCCAGCGTGTTGGTTCTTTGCTTAAAAAGGAAGTCCGGACTGTAGAGAACTCCGTGAACTGTTGAGAACTGCCCTAAGATGGCGTGGGGACTGGTTTTATTAATCTGGATGTTTTGATTTCTGGTCGAATCAAAGTTTGCAGATTTATAAACACCACAGAGACTATGCCACGCTTCAGAAAGGAAGGTTCTGATTGGATCAGTAAAAGCAATGTGTCATGCGTTTACATTACGTGTGATCAGCATGTCTAGTGCAGCTAGATTAAAGTCATATTACTTATTAAAGCATACTAATCATAACATTGTCATTTCACAGATTGGTCAACATATTATTATTGACTAGGGTTGTCACGGTAACCGGTGTAGCGGTAAACCCCGGTAAAAAAGTTAACAATAATAATAATAGTCTTGTTTTTAAAGAACTATATTATCTTGGTGGATTACCGTGGCTGCGGTGTAGGCGCGGTGACCCTTACCAGCCACCGTATCATCTGCTGAAGTTGCCGGCGGCACATGCGCACTTTGTTGTTTACGACCAAAACTTTCTTGAAGCTAAAGCTGAAATAATGGCCAAAGGAGGAGACGGCAGCGCTCAGGACATTTATTATCCCTCAAAGAAGACAAAGTGGGAAGTACGGGCATCTTTTAGATATCTGAAGAATGCCGAGGGACAGTTGATAGAAGACGGCTATCCTGTTTGCAGCACGTGCAGAAAAAGTGTCTGTGAAAGGCAGCAACGCTTCAAATCTCATGACACATCTGCGTGACCATCACCCACAACTCTACAGTCAACGCAAGACAAGCTAACATTAGCGTTTTAGCTAAAATGCGTGATCCGAGGATTTGGGTTGAGGGAGAATGCAACGAGTCGCTATATAAAGCAGCTGCAGCGCCGCTACCTGCATATAAACCGTGTCGCGGACACCGCCATGTTGAAATGACGCTATGCATTACGGGGCTCCCAGGGGCAGATAAGAGTTGGTCTCTCTCCGAGAATAATTATGAATTTAACAACGATTACTGCCTGATGACATTTTCCCACATCTGCAAAGCTCACTGGAAGGACACAAACCGAGGACAATATTTTCCTGATATAGGGTTTATTACTCAAGTAAGGGTTGAAAAAGTATCTGATTAGAAGGCTACTCGAGTACTGAATATCATTTGATCTAATACTTTTAAAATGATGACATCAAACAGACATAAAATTAGAAGTTATGGGCAAATATTGGTATTTTAAAGACTAAAGGGAAAAAATGTAAACAAATAAACAGCATAATTACAAAATAACACGTTTTAGGCAAAATTTAGACACAAACTGAGGACAATATTTTCCTGATATACAGGATTTATTTAGTTGTCTGAAAATGTAACACTTAAAAAAAATACCACAATAATACCGACAACCGTGATAATTTTGGTCACGATAACCGTGAGTTTAAATTTTCACACCATGACAACCCTATTATTGACTAACACTTTGTTTGATTAGCTTTATTAAAAATAGAGTTATTTGATTTATTAAAAGGAAAGAGTCCTTTATCTTCATTCTTTTTGAGCTGGAAAGGAAGCAGTTTAGAAGTGAATGCATGACCTTGAGGCAGTCTCATGCATATGTTACTGTTTACATTAATTATTTTTATGATGACTGAATAAAATTGATCTTTCATTCATTCATTCGTTCATTCATTCATAGTGGCCAATAGAAGACACAGCTCTCATACTAGATTTGGATATGGAGCAGGACCTAGAACTGCCTGATTTGCTAGTTTGGCTTCGACAATGGCTGCTGGAGCGGCATGAAGCGGCTGTAGGATGAGGCAATCGAGGTCTGTATCCAACATCGTAATCTTCTAGATATGAAGGCAAGCGACGCTGTCTTCTCGGCCTCTCCTCGGGCTCTGGAGTGTCTGCAGTTGCTTCTGTCATACTGCATGCTAGGGTGCACTCAATCCGGCTCGAAGGACCATGTAAT